GCTCCCCTTTTCTAGCTACACAGGGAGGAAAATTCTACTTAGTAAGAGTTATAATCCCTAAGCGGGGCCGATGGCCGCCTACGCAAAAAGAAGTTATGCGCAGAAAAAACTTCCGCCAACCTTTTCCGGCAACACAGAAAAATTCTAGTTAGTTAGTTTGTGTAGGCGGCCTTCGGCCGCGCTTAGGAATTATAACCCTTACGAAGTAGAATTCTCATTTCTGTGTTGCCGGAAAAGAGGCGTAGAAGAATTTTTGCTCAGAACTTCTTTCTGCGTAGGAGGCCTTCAGCTGCGCTTAGGGATTATAACCCTAACTAAGCAGGAGAACATAATTCATATTAGAAAAAACGAAATTATCCATATGCACACTTTCGTTAGAAAACCTAAATAATGCATATGTGAAAAACGAAGTAATGCATAAATGCAGTTTCGTTAGAAAACCTAAATAATGCAAATGTGAAAAACGAAGTAATGCATAAATGCACAGTTTCGTTTGAAACAGAAATAATGTCTAAATACACAGTTTCCACATGCACAATTTCGGTGCCCCGCAGAAAGAAGTTCGCTTTCATGTATGCACTATTTCGGTTTTTGTCATATCGTCGCCTGGATAAAAGATTGTCGTAAGCATCATACGTACATACGTGCGTAACATACGACTATCTTTTACCCAGGCGACGATATGCATTGTTTCGGTTTTGAACCGAAACTGTGCATGTATGCATTACTTCGTTTTTCTCATATGTATTATTTCGGTTTTCAAACGAAAGTGTGCATATGCATAATTTCGGTTGTTGTAATATGTATTATTGCGGTTTTCAACCAAAACTTTGCATTTTTGCATTATTTCGTTTTTTTTTCGTATGCATTATTTCGGTTTTTTCATATGTATTATTTCAGGGTGCTCTCTTGTTTAAATATTCCCAATGTTTTTCAAGTAAATTTTTTTTTATTTTTTATAAAAATATTTTTCATGCTTTGGCCAAAACCATATAATTAAAAGTTTAAAACGTACATTTAAATACCACTCTGTAACAATTTTTCTGAAAGTATATCTATTCAAAAGTTTTGGAGAGTCGTACCATCCTGTTCGTTACTTGTTATACGCTATGTAGTGTGAAGCTGTTATAGGAAACTGCTAAACTAGTTTTCCCCTAAAATGGGACAAAATGTACATAGTACAGTTATGTATACATAAATCTGTACATACTAGATGCGATTCATCGCTTGCGTTAGTGTGTAAGTAGGTACCACGATAACTAGTTTTTAATATTCACAAAGCTTTATTTTATTTTTTTGCCGACAGCGTTTTCGAAATCTTCAAAAGTATACGGAAGTTTAAAAATGCAGAGGATTTTTATCATTCAAGTTCCATATGTGCCATATGCCATATATGCCGGTAGTTCTTTTATATAAAGGTTTTACTGGAAGCAGTCACGTATCGAAAGCAATGATAAACTTTGGGTTCATTTTCCGGTCTTTCCAAGCTTAGAAAAGAATATTAATAATATAAAAAAAAAATATTTACACACGTACATATCTACATACTATACATATGTACATATGTAGTATATCGAACTACGTAAATAAATTTAATGATTTTGTTTAACACTATTTCTATTTGTTTTTAGAAAAATCGCCTACTGGCTTCGTGTGTCCCAAGGACCGTGCAAAAAATGACGATAAGGGCCAAGTAGTTACCCATCCGAAGTTTCCCCATCCGACAGATTGTCAAAAATTCCACGTATGTTTAAATGGCGAAGATCCCCGTGACCTTGCGTGTCAGCTGGGTGAAGTTTATAATGAGGAAACCGAGATGTGTGATGCTCCAGAGAACGTGCCCGGATGTGAAGACTGGTACAAGGATTCCGATGACAAAAAGGAATAATATGTTTATGTTTTAACCTTTGGCATCCCGCCTACCGGCACCGTGAACGCAACATCTGCTCAGATTTGATATTCTACGGCGTCGTTTATTGTTACGTTTTTCTCCTTCATATGTATTATATGTAGTTGTATGCACATATGTGCATAATATGTATGTATCAGTATAATATTTTATTGTACTTGATTCGGTTAATTACCATAGAAAATAAGTCAGCATTTTTTCGATATGACAATTTTGATGCAGTTCGGTCCGTTTAAAGGAGCTCTGTTGAACTGCATCAAATTTGCCGTATCGGAAAAGTGCTGTCTTATTCCTATAGGTAATTAATCGATTCACTTGTTCTTTCAGGTGACTTAATTATATATTTTAATACCCAGACATGATTTTTCTCTTCATTTATCTATAAATTGTTGTCCTCCTTCTGAGAAAAAATGCACATGAGGCATTATTTTTTAAGTCGGACGGATTTCTTAAAAAGAATGCCATCATGTCTCCGATTCGCTTAACATTAAATACATTTATTGAAATGTGCAAGTAGGTATCCGTTATCATCTTGAAACCTATTTTTATATTGGAAGCTGAATGAATCATTTGTAATTCGCATACAAAATTTTTAAAGCAAATTACCTCATTTGTTGGTAATTCAGATCCAATTACCATGCAAATTACGAACAAATCGCTGCTGCCTCTAAATTTTATTGGAAATTTATCGAAACCAGTTCACAAATCAAAGCTGACACTTTATATGAGTACGAAAAGTTAAGTTTATACAAGTGTACATCACCAATTTAATACGGAAACTTATGAATTTTTAGCAATAACTTACATTTTGCATCAATTTGGCTGCGATGAAAAAAACAAAACACAGAGACAGAGAACTGTCACATCGAATTCGGAATGAGCTCGAGGAAATGGGGTAATTCGCGATCGTAATTGGGGAACGAAAAAAAGTAATTCAGGGTGCCGTGGGAACACCAGATTATATATATATTTATATAGGGAAGATTTTTATAATAAATTTGCTTATACCATGTTCTTACCGACATGTTTTCGTTGCTGAAACTAGTTTTCGACCTAAAACTTGTGTTTTCGTCCATGTAAAATCTGCCAAACGAAAACCAGGGCTCGAATCGTAGCAGTCGTGAACGTACTGATCGTTTCTTAAGCAGTGTTTAACATTTGCGTTCAACTCAACGCAGAGTCGCACGAAAAAAAAGTTGATTGGCTAAATGTTGCCTGGCGACCAACTTTGTTGAAAGCGGTTAGCTGAAAGGCCATTCAACCAAAAGTTGAATGCACATTTGAACAATGCAAACACCTTTTTTTATGGCGAATATTTTGATATTTTTTTCATATTTTGATATTTTTAGCCATTAAACATTTTTTCCGTGCAACCCTGCGCTGAGTTGAACGCAAATGTTGAGCGCAAAATTGAACAATGCAAACACACTTTTATACTGAATCACGAGACGATCAGTATGTTCACGACTGTTAAAATCCGAGATACCTACGCATTCTTACGTAACGAGTTGCTCGTTCACGACTGTTACGATTCGAGCCAAAGGCGTGACTATAGGGCGACAGGGCTGGCAAAATGCCACGGGCCCCCGATCCGAGAGGGCCCCGGCACAAGAGACCGCGAGTTCAGAACTAACCTAACATTTTTAACAACACTAAGTACTCAAAATTTATAATTTTTTCAAGTCCTTAAAATCAATTAAAGTGAGACACAACTAGAAATATATGCCGCCACGCTTGAAAAATCTAAGTGTTTCGAAGACGACCGAATTGAAATGTGATTAAATTGCTGACGGCGTTATACATTTTCTTCTATATAAAGTGTATTCAATTAATTTTTTTTTACAGAAAAAAATTACAAAACCTCCAACAAAATAAAATCCCAAAAATCAACGCGTATTCTTAGAACAATATGATACTAAATTGAATGGGCTATAAAGGCGTATACCCGAGCTTTTTTTAGAAATTCGGATTAAAAAGTTTCAAATTTTCATGTCCGTTTTAAGGTTGGCGATTGTTAATAAATCTTGTACAAGATTTGCAACTTTCTGGTCTACTTGGTTCTAGTACAAGCTATATTTTCGTAAAAAATAAATAAAGAAAAAATAAATGCTCAAAACACACAAAGAAATAGTGTTCCTAATTATATGGCCACTACTGTACATATACATATATGTATCATTAATAAAAAACATTTTTTATTTATTATCTCCTTTTAACAAAAAAAAGAATTCACATGTTACATGTTACAGGTACAGGTTGGAGCTAATTCTAACTCTTGAAGTTTTACTAGTGGTTCACTTTGGCAGAAAATATTGATTAAATGGCTTTCGAATTGCGTTGCGTTCTGATGAAGTCCCTTTAGATCGTCGTACAGCTTCCTAAGTAAAAACACTATCAGCTGATTGCCAAAAAATGCCTACAGCTGAGATCACCTGTTTCTTGGATTTGCTGTTATCTATTACAATTTCTTTCATTTGTATTACAATTTATTCCAAATACACCAATACACTCAACCAAAAACCCCGATACACTGAAAAACATTATAAAGTGTTTTCGTAGGTGGCGAAAGCGATTCCCATAATTACTTCTGCAAGGATTAATTTATTGGGATATCATCAACCCTTAATTTGGAGGTTGAAATAACGGGTAAGTTCCTGAAAACCAGAAAATTCTAGAAATCGATGTCCTTTCGCTTTTCTTTTTGCTGTATCTCAAACGCAAATCCTGATACCAATACAATTTTTTTTAAATTGTAGTACATTTAATATGGAATAAGGAAAAGCTTATTAGGATACCATCAACCCCTAAATTAGGGGTTGAAATAAAGGGTGAATGGCTAAAACCTAGAAAATTCACTGAAAAACATTCTAAAGTATTTTTGTAGAAGACGAAAACAATTTCAAAAATTATTTCTACAAGGTGTGTTTTATTGGGATACCATCAACCCCTAAATTAGAGGTTGAATGGAAATTCGTTCGATCAGCACTTTCGATCACAGTCGAAGGTCGAATGCAACTCATAATAGGAGCCATAATTCTATCTTATAACGTACCTTGTGCAAATTTTCATTAATCTATCTTCAATAGTTTCCGAATTACAGAATTAAAAACAGCTTGATGGGTCAAATCTTACACTGTGTGGCGACCAGAAAATCAAAAAATCAACGGCTTGCAGCAAAGGGATATTTCGCTTGGTTTGTCAAGCCGCTTGTGTAAGCGTAGTTCCCCACGTTTTGTCAACGAAAAATTTAATCAGAAAAATTGCCGAAAACGTACCCTTTTCACACAGGGATGATAAATAAATTTTTCGAAATTGTACCAAACGTCAGATAAAAATATACCAAATGAAATAAAAATGTACCAACAAAAAACTTTAAACGCTTTCACAAAACAACGAGTGTTTAAAACCAATATACATTAGGTTTGTATAGTAACTTCTCCAGTAAAAAATTGCAGCGAGAGCGTAAAAGCAAAATAGAGTGTAAAATTGAGAAGAACAGAAAATTTGCAAAAAAAAGTTAATGAACACAAAACTGGTAAAAACTTGCAAATGAATACATAGTTGTTGCACCGCTTTGACATTCTAATGTTAACATTTTGCTATTCATAAATCAGTTTTAACCTCTTAGCTTACACCACGATTGAGAGAATACAAAGGTTGCGCCGATCTCGGACCGCTATTCCTCTCTTAACGAATTTGACAGAATCGTTGTTTGCATGACGTCACACTTGTGCAACTTGTTTACGTTTTCCTTGCAACATTTTTTCTTCTTCTTCCATTCTTGCTCACGTTTTGGCATTTCTCTCTCGCGATTGCACCAGTGTGACGTCACCCAAAAGTTATTCTCAAAAATCCTCTCTGATCGGCGCAATCTTGTATTCTATCATTCTTGCAGTACATCATTAATATTTTGATTTCCATTCATTTTACTTTTGTTTGTGCTAAACCAATTCAACAGATGGCGGCTTTTGACATTTATTCTTCTTATTCTTCTGCTAGTAAAAATTTCACTAGCAAGAATTTGCAGCTCCCCCGTGTTGTTACGCTCTCGATTCAGTGCTCTCTTGCAAATTTTCTGGGTTTTTATACTCTTTTCCAGTAAAAATTTGCAGGTTCCAGTACAAATTAGTACTGACTATTTATTTGTTACTATACATACCTATTTATCGAACGCCTTTTAAATGAACGTCTTGTAAAAATATACATATATCTGTGGTCATAAATCGAAAAACCTGAATTCGAGAAAAAATATTTTATACATTTGGATTGTGATGTTAACCTTGTGGAGAAACCGAAGGATGTTCGTCTATAACTTTTTAAATAGCTGAGCTTGCGAAATGGGGATTTCACATACACATGGAATAGTAGTTGCAGGATACAATATATAACTCAATTCTTTCTTAAATCGACTTAGCGGTTATTGCTTATGACCACAAATATGTATATCGTCGTTTAAAGTACAAAACCGCGTATCGTCATTCTGCAAAACCACGTAACTGGCATTTGCTGGTGGGGTGCAATAAGGCCATATGCAATAAAGCCATATTGGAAATAAAGCCATATTTTTTTGGTAATAAGGCCATAAATTCGATATGGCTTTATTTCCAATTACAATTGGTAATTAAGCCATATGGCTTTATTTCGCTTTCAAATTTTTATGTTTCTTTTATTTGAACAATGGAAAAAGTTCGCAACAAAACTACTAAACCGCCTTGAACTACAACGTCACCTTCAACATGCAATTACTCTCCTTCGCGTCCAGCCGCGCCGCGCTCCGCCCTTCACACGCGGCGCGGTGCGGGGAGCCAACAAATGTGCACCCGCCAGGTTATGCACTCGCAAAATTAAAACACCTGGGTACATATATTTATTTTTCAATATCCAATAAATCCGGAAATATTAAATAATGATTTCTTTCATTTTATTAGTAATAATTTGTATAAATTTAAATAATTCAGTATCAGTTTCAAGAGTGTGTCCAAGGCGAATTTAATAATGAATTACAACAAACACATCATTTGGACGTAATGTTCAGATAAAATTCAGATTCGCCGTTAACACCGCCTTGAGAGTGTCATTTCAGAATATGGCTTTATTTCTTATTTGCAAAATTTTTTGTATGGCTTTATTTCTCTTTCTGATTGGAAATAAAGCCATATGGCTTTATCGCCTTAAATATGGCTTTATTGCCATATGGCTTTATTGCGTATGACCTTATTGCACCCCACCGCCAAACACACCATCAATTTGTCGACTTCAAAAGCTGCATTCGACAGCACTCAAGGGATTTGACTATACGCCGTGATGTCTGAATTTGGTATCCCCGCGAAACTGACACCGCTGTGTAAACTGACGTT